TAGATGGCAACTAACAGAGAAACTCACAACTGGACAATGTGCAAAAAATGAGAGATGTGAGCATGCAGCCCTAAATCAGATGCCTCCATCAAACTCCTCCTCTCAAGGCTCAGGGATCTCTATGTGGAACAGGAGTGGAAAGATTGTAGAACCAGATGATCAACAGCCACCCCAAAAAATGTTCATGCAGGAAACCCATCAATGGTCTATAGAAGGTCTATCTAGACATGTGAAAGAGTATATAAAGTTTGCATACATAGGAACTGTGTACTTTTTCAGAGACAATCCATAGCTCTAGAAGGTTCATGATCCCCAAATGAAAAGTTAAGGATCATGTTCAATTTGTTTTTATTTTTTGTATGTCATTATTATGTATGCAGTACGTACACACATACGTGTACGTACACACACACACACACACACGGAAGTTAAAGGACAGCTCTTTAGGAGTCTGTTCTCTCCTTCCACCAACAGGTTCTAGGAATCTGCACGGTAAGCATTTTTGGGGGGTTTTGTTTGTTTATTTTATTTTATTTTATTTATTTATTTATTTATTTTTTTGAGATCTCTGTGTAGTTTTGGTGCCTGTCCTAGATCTCTTCTGCAGACCAGGCTGGCCTCGAACTCACAGAGATCTGCCTGGCTCTGCCTCCTGAGTGCTGGGATTAAAGGTATGCGCCACCACCGCCTGGCCAGTAAGCACCTTTAACTGTGGCCCAGGAATGTATTGTTTTGTGTGTTACCATTTAAAGTCAACACTCCTGTAGAATAATCCTCTTGTACACTGTACAGATTTATTACTGTCATTGATTAATAAGCTGACAAGCCAGTAGCTGGGCAGGAAGTTAGGTGGGAAGGCCAAACTGAGAATGATGGAAAGGAGGGCAGAGTCAGAAGTCACCAGCTAGATGCAGAGGAAGCAAGATGAGAATACTGTACTGAGAAAAGGTACCAAGCCAAGTGGCTAAGCATAGATAAGATTTATGGATTAATTTAAGTGTAAGAGCTAGTTAGTGATAAGCCTGAGCTACTGGCCAAGCATTTATAAGTAATTTTAAACCTCCAAGTCAATTATTTGGGAAACAGGTGCTGAGTTATTTGGCAATCACTGGCAAGACAGAGAAAAGCCTCTGATTACACAATACCTATAAACTCCCTTTCTGAGCTACTTGCCTTCCAAATACTCACTTTGAATAGATTACACTTTGATCATTGCCTTACTTTATACTTTCTTTTTTCCCCCCTCTTTTTGGAATATCACATATAGTCCTTGAATTTGCTCAAAGTTCTTTTGGGGAAAGCAACTTTTAATTTCCTCTGTAAATAAAATGGACAGCCAAGAGAATGTCAATGACTCGTCTAGCACCCAAAAGCTCCTGAACAGCAGAATGAGAACGATACCCTATCTGCTGCTTATGCTGTGCATGACTAGAAACAACAATAGATGTTCCTAACTTCTGGCTTCATAGATTTCAAAATAAAATATAAAGCCCTTTAAATAACTAATAAGTTAACAAGCGCCAAAGATCCTAAAATAAGTAAGACAGAAATATCAACTATAAGGTCAACATCATCTACAAGTTAAAAAACAAGAGTTTTTTCCTGACAACTGAGTTTTTACTGAATTCCTATGGGCATAAAACAAAAGCCTGCACTACACTAGAATTAAGCATGGAAGTCCATTTTATTCACTCACTTTTATATCTCAACGCAAGTCAAAGCACAATTCAGACTATTCAACAAGTGATGCAGCAATGTGGGGCAACATAAGATAACCAAAGGCCAGTGATCACAAGGCATGGTAACCCAGGGTATGCAACTCTGTAGAAGAAGGGTCTTCAAACTCACTGCACTCATGAAGCTCATTTCTAACCAAAACCTGGTTAACAATGCCCAGTGCTTGTCGGAGTGAAGAGCAGTTCAATGAACACACTCCTTGTATGTCAAGAAGGTACTCAGTGAATATTCTGAAAACTACTCATCTGTCAGACATTCAAATGTAATTATAACCTTCCTTGAGGGGGGGTAGTGTATAATAGTTAAAATTTTTTAATTAAAAAATATTTTATTGTAAATATGAGAAAAATCTGGCATCGACAAGGCTATAGCTTCATGAAGTGTAGAATATTATTACTGTGGAATACAGTACACAACCATTACACACGTCTGGTCAGTGAAATGACTTACAGGGTAAAGGCTCTTGGCAACAAGGTTGGTGACCTTATTTTCCTACACAGTAGGAGAACCTACTTTCCCCCAAGTTGTCCTCTGACCTCCTCATGTGTGCCCACACACATAATACATATACACAAATAGAATAAATAAATGTAAGAAGAAACTGTTTTAAAAAAGAACAAGTTGTACTGGCATAGCCAATATGCTGTGATCTATGCTTAAATGTATGTACAATATATGAATAATATGAATATAAGATGGCATTTTCTATAAAGCAAGCACCACCAATACAAATCAACATGCTAGGGACCAGTTGAGATGGCTCAGCAGGTAAAGGCACCTGCAATCAAGCCTGACAATGAGTTCGAGCCTTAGAACACACATAGTAGATGGAGAGAAATAACTCCCACAATTTGTCCTCTGACTTCCACAAGCATGTAGTATCTCACTATACAAATACATACACACAAAACAAATAAATGGTTTTTAAAAATTGTGTTAAGCAAAGTAACACATTAATCCCAGCACTCTCAAGGCAGAGTAAGTTCAAGGCCTATCT